CATGGCACCACTGTATGTACGGATTTGTTTAGAGGTAGATGCACACAACCATTTTTATCAAATTATTCAACAAAACCTTACAAGATAAAATATCGATCCACCCAAAAGCCACCTTCTAGGCTATGATTGTCGCCACACCTACGAGCTTGATGATGGAATGGTCATGATCAGATCCGCTTGCCCTGCCTTATACCTATGCACATCATTTAAAACCAGAGCATCGATGAAGCAGATGACCTTTGCACATCATTTAAAACCAGAGCACCGATGACGCAGACCTTTAGTGCATACCGCATGTGCACGCTCTAGAAATCACATTCATTTTCTTCCATGAAGCCATCTTCAGGACAGGGGTCAACGCTGATGTGCGGGCCAGAATCAATCGGTAGACCCGTTGTCCTGACCTGAGGCCTCTGCGAAGGTGAATAACAGGATGGTTTTGCGAATATCCATGCACCGGATGAACAGTAAATTCAAGAAAAAATACTAAACAAAATTTTAAAAATCCAATATATATACATATATATTGCATGGAAGATGCTTGATGCGTGAGGTTCGCTTCAAATTTCTGCTCATTTGGACATCTGAGTAACTCTGAGCAAAAAAAAAACAAATTAGGTTAGAACTGTTTCACGGACGTTAAATTTGTCTTTTTTGCCGAGAGCTAATCAGATGTTCAAATGAGCTGAATTTGGAGCGGAGCTCGCGCACCAAAGCATCTTCCATTCCAAAAAAGTTCGGATTTTTTTTTGTACTCCCATCGTCTCAAAATAAGTGACCCAACTTTGTGAGCTGATGAGCTCGGAAGCCAAATAGCGCACTCGATGATTTTGAAACAGCTGTTTTAGTCGTTCCGATGTCCGGCCAGGGTTACATTTTGCTGTGCACAAGCTCGATAACAGCGTGCGTATCTGAAATTTTGATATCGGTGCCCCCGAGCGAGTGTACGCGGATTCTTACATTCTGGTTGCCGAATCACCTTGAGTCTTTGTTCCGGCTGTTCAACACAGAAGATCACGTTTGCCTTTTGTCCTGCAAGTTTATTTCCTTGTGCACATGGGGGATGTGCACGTCCCCTTGCCTGAGAGGAACGTGGGATGCCCGGCGCTGTTTCGCGTGGCCGGTCGCCTCGTGGGTCCCGTTCCGCGGACGTTCTCCTCGTGGGTGCCATTGCCTGGCGGGCACGGCAGCATGGCATGGCATGGCACTGGCAGTGCCTTCCCTCCCGCGGCGCCCGTACCGTCGATCGCGTGGGCCGGCCAGCGCACTGCCCGCCAAGCCGCGTCCGGTGTCGTCGGCGCGGTGCCGAGTGGCGCGCAGGCGCCACTAGTTACTCTTTCCACTACTACGCCAGTACTACCGGGTTTTTTTTTTTTGCGATAAAGGGCATTTTTATTGACTTAAAATGTAGCATCAAATGGAGACAAAACATAATGAGCATCACCTGGTCTTTGCATAACTAAGATGCACACAGCCAAACAAAAACAAATTGAAAGAAGATAAAAAAGATGACATATCAGCAACAGTAGGATCATATAGAACCGACAGTCCGCCTATGTTGAAGGAGTTGGTGCGGCTATCCATAGATTATGCTGCCACCCATGCTGGGCGAAGACCTCCCTAGCCACCCACTCCAACCGCGTACACACCACCTTGAATAGTTGTTGATACTCCGCTCGGCGTAGCGTAGAACACGTACAAAGCGAGTGCGTACAGCGGAAAATAACCTGCAAAGGAGAGGTGTTATTGCCCTCGAAAACCAAATTATTTCTACATAGCCAGAGTGTCCATAATAAGGCATATGTTCCCACCCAAATTAGCATTTGAACCTATTTGAAATGCCGTCTAACCAATGACCAAAAATATTGACAACACTTGTGGGCGGATACAAATTGGACGCTATTTGGATGACTAACCACGTAGAGCGTGCAAACTCACATTGAAAAAAGAGGTGTTTGATTGTCTCGTCATGAGTACAAAAACTACACTTCTTACTTCCGTGTCAATTGCGACAGGCGAGATTGCCTTTGGTTAGCATAACTCCCTTTCGAAGATACCACATAAAGATTTTAACCTTCAGTGGAATCTTCGACATCCAAATTTTCTTGTTATTATCCACTGGGACCTCTGAATGCGTTAGCGCGAGATACATAGAGCCGACTGTGAAGGACCCAGATGTAGTGAGGTTCTAGCGAAACACATCCGTCCTTGTGTCAGGTTTATCGACTCCAATCGAGATAATAAATTTTTCCATGACATAAGACGGGGGCCAATCAAATCATGCTAAAAGAAATATTCGGCGGAAATGAACTGAGCACATGCGCTAGAGTATCATTCTTATCGCGAACAATGCGGTATAAAGCTGGATATTGTTCTTGGAGGCCGGCATTGCCTAGCCAGTTGTCCTCCCAGAAATGAATCTCTGACCCATCTTTTATCGCGAAGGATCCAAAACGAAAAAGATGTTTCTTCACCGCCATTAGACCAACCCAAAAGTGTGAGTCGTCGGGTTTCCAATAGGCCTGTGACATAGCTTTTTGGCCTAGATACTTATTGCGCGGCAGGGTTTGCCAAACGCCATCCTCAGTAAGTAGTTTAAACAACCATTTACTAAGTAAGGCATCATTCTTGACCTAAAGGTCATGAATGCCAAGTCCACCTTAGTCTTTCGGCCTACAAACCACGCTCCATTTGGTTAGCCTCTATTTTTTATTTTCACTGTCCCCTTGCAAAAGAATCTGTATCTAAAATAATCTAGCCTCTGCAAGACCCTTCTTGGGAGTTGGGAAAAAGAGAGCATATAGAGAACCATATTTATGAGGACTGAGTTGATTAAGACGAGTCGTCCTTCAACAGAGAGCAACTTGCCTTTACAACTACTCAATTGTTTCTCTAAGTGTCCATCTATATGTTTCCACTCCGCAATAGTGAGACGCCGATAATGAATCGGAATTCCCAAATATTTAATTGAGAATTAGCCTTGTGCACAACCAAACAGGTGGGCATACTCAGTCGCTGCCTCACTGGCTTCTCCAAAGCAGAACAATTCACTTTTATGGAAGTTAATTTTAAGGCCTGGCATCTGCTCAAACACTGAAAGCAATAATTTCAGGTTTCGAGCCTTATCCATGTCATGTTCCATAAAAAGAATTGTATCATCGGCATATTGCAGAATAAAGAGGCCACCATCCATAAGGTGGGGCACTACTCCTGCAATTTGACCGTCCTGCTTGGCACAATCAATCAGAATAGACAGCATGTCAGCCACGATGTTAAATAACATTGGAGACATGGAGTCACCCTGTCGTAGTCCTTTTTCCGTCTGAAAGTAATGGCCTATGTCATCATTGACTTTGATAGCCACACTACCTCCAGTAACAAAATTTTGGATCCACTCGCGCCATTTATCGGAGAAACCTTTCATTTTTATGGCCTGTTGAAGGAAGGACCATTTGACCTTATCATAGGCCTTTCGAAGTCAATTTTGAAAAGTACTCCACTCATGTTTTTACGGTGCATCCCGTGAACGGTCTCATGTGGGATTACTACTCCATCGAGTATATTTCTACCTTGCATGAAAGCCGTTTGAGATGGCCGGACGACATGGTCAGCAACCGTATTGAGCCTATTAGCAGTCACTTTGGTGAAAATCTTGAAGCTAACATTAAGGAGACATATGGGTCTATATTGCTGGATTCACTCAGCCTCCTTAATTTTTGGCAACAAAACAATCTCGCCAAAGTTAAGCCTGAATAGATCAAGTTGGCCAGCATGAAGACAATTGAACAACTCCAATAGGTTAGTCTTGATGATATTCCAGAAATTCTGATAGAATTCTGCGGGGAAGCCATCAGGGCATGGAGCTTTGTTATGTTTCATCTGAAACACTGCTGCTCTCACCTCCTCCTCAGAGAAAGGTGCCGTGAAGATATCGTTCTCTTCTGCTGTGACTTGTGGAATATCATCTGTTCGGGTCTCGTCAAGGGTAAAGTTCCCTTCATCAGGTGCCCCAAACAAAGATTTCTAGTATTTGAATATATAACTTTTGAGCTCTGCCTGACCTTCGATCCGCCCCTCATCTTGTTGGAGACTGAATATACACTTCTTCCTATGACGACCATTGGCGACAAGTTGGACGTATCGTGTATTACTGTCTCCCTTCAAGATGAAGTCAGCTTTGGATCTTTGGTAATATTTGATTTCCTCTTCTCATAAAAGACGTGCAATCTTTTCATTGGATTGATTTTTCAATTCAATCTCTTGTTGTGACAAGATGCGAGTTTCTGCGATTTTATCGAGGTCATCAATAATGGTGGCGAGCCGTTGCTTTTCTTTTTTGTATATTCCATTGGTGTGTTTCTCCCATCCAGATAGGTACCACCTTATGGTTCTTATTTTAAAGTTCCATCTCTGAATAGATGTGCGGCCAATTGCGGGTCTCTCCCATATATATTCTTGATTATGACTGGAAAGCCTTCTCGATGCAACTATCCTAATTCAAACTTGAAAGGGCGGCGAGCGGATGGGTTTGTAGAATTAGAATTAAGAATGATGGGCGCATGATCCGATAGTGCCTCAATACGCTCTAGGGCATGCTAGCGCCAAAGGACTGTAAACATAATCCCAGCGAGTGAGACCCATCAACCATTGCTTCCGGCACAAATCTCCACACCATCAGTAGCCATCAGTACACACTGCACTTTGGAGAGCACACTAAAGAACAGTGCTGCTTTGCTGTTTATTGGAGTGAGATCCATCCATCAATCGAGCGGGTGTGACGACGACGAGTCGACGACGATGATGATTACAAACAGACGAAACAAACGTTGGGATCCGGGGTCCTCCTGCTGCGACCTACTAACCTAAACCAGCTCACCGCGGTTACAAAAACGAATAATGGGCAAGGAACAAGACACCAAAACTGACGGCACGAAACGAACGAAATGGACACTCTTCTGTATAAAGAAAAATCTCTGCTGCTTCTGCTGCTGCTGCTTAATTCAGTCGAAGATCTCCCACTTGGTGGTGACCGGGGGGCTGTTGTCGAACGTCTCCCACTTGGTGGTCACCACCACCGTCTGCAGCCGCGCGTTGGACACCTTGAGGACGTCCAGCGCCTCCACGCACTTCTGCACCCGCTTCGCCTGCCAACAAAAACAGAATCAAATCAGCTTTCTTCTCCAAGACACTGGGCTACACCACACTCATGGCTGCACCAACAGCACCACACAGATAAAAGCTTGCAGTCAAATTGTTTATCCGCATGTCATTATCATCGCAACAGAAAGTGAAGGAGCTTTTCCGTTCTCATCTCGAGGTGGCATGAAGGTATCATCGCAGATAAATGATGAAAGCTTGCGGCCCAGACTTTTTGGTCTCAGTCTCACATTGCTTGTGCTCGTGACCTAGCCAACAGCCTGCGCCACTTCCATGGCAATCTACCTTTCTTGTCATCTACTCTTTGTACAGCACGGTCAGGGAGCACATTCATCCCCTTTAACTAAGAAGATTTGCTGCTAACACGATCAGTAGAAGCTACTCACTAGGCTGCATGCGACGCGTTCAGAGTACACTCCAGGATCGGCTAGGCTGGCATCCAAGGGCTCTCTCTATCTACCTAACATTCGGAGCAGGGGAAAGGGGTGGAGGTGGAGTTTTTCCCTGTGCTTGTACTGGACCACGTACGTGTCCTCCAGAAAGGAGCCAATGAGCCTGTGACCGTCCCGGGGGGGGGGGGCATGTAGGGCACTCGCCCACACCACACGTTGCATTCCTCGTCGACACTCGCATTGCACCGCTGGTCATGGCACTGCTCGCGTTACCTGCAGACGCAATGATGCGGATCGCAGACGCCGACAGCCCCACCCTGCCCTCATCGAAGGGGAGAGTTGTACCAGAACCGATGGCACGATGCCCCTACTAAACCTGATCTGCGTGCAGTGAATGTAGGGTGTGTGGTGTGGTGGGGGTACCTGGAGGTTCTTCTGCGAGGAGGTGTCGGCGTCGGCAGGTATGCTCTCCAGCTTCACCGCGTGCCGCATCAGCAGCTCGATCAGCGTCGTGATCTGCACCTCCGCCACCTTGCTCCCGCCGGACACCGACTTCTCGATGCTCGTCACCTGGTGGCACAAGAACGAGAATAAATTTTAACATCCGATCAGCTTAGAATCACAGCATCAGAGGCAGGGACGTCAGACGCAGGCACCGGCCGCTTCGGGCAGCAATGATGAAAGTGAGGAGAGCATCCTTGTTACTCGTCACTTGTCAGTGACGGGGTGACGGATTCGTGTCGTAATGCCGGAATCCTGATGGTTACGCTGAGTGAACCCTACTCCGGGACCATGCTGCTGCCGACGGAAATTTCACCGGCGCCCACATCGATCGATCACGGAGCATCAATTCTGTTTTTTGGACGAGCTCGCGGCGTCAATTTGCTCACCTAATTCCCTGGACATGCGATTCAATGCGAACGCAGCAGCAGCATTCCCCTTCCGTCCCATGCCTGCGTGCCTGACGCCACACGCACTGATACTGCAAGTCTGCGACTAATTCCCTTCTAGGATGCAGAGACAGCAACTAATCACACGCCTAAAAAGACAAAGCATCCCATTTTTACCCGCCGCTAGATCATCTCTGAATAAGGCAAACTGTCACCGCTAGATGTCAGGAGCTCGTTTCTTTTGTCAGCGATCGATCGTCGGTGGTGGAAGGAAAAACAATGAGCATTTGTGTGTGTGCGGTTGTGCATACCTGATCGGCGAGCTTGTCGAGCTCGAGGGCGATGGCGCCGATGGCGCGGTTGGCGTTCTGGATCCTGGCGTTCCGCTGCCGCTCGATGTAGCGCCGCTCCAGGCTCGCCGGATCCTCGGAGACCACCAGCTTGGACTTGTTCTTGACGCCGAACCTGTCCAGGAACTCCGAGTTCTTCCGCTCCCGCCCCTTGTACGTCAGCAGCTGCTCCGACGGCTGCAGCCCCGTCCTCGGCGCCAGCGCCTTCTTCAGCTCACCTGCGCGGTCACCACCATCCGCCACCAACAAACCAATCAGAAGTAGTACGAAACCAGCAAAATTACTACTGCACATCACAGCTGATTACTGCTGGATCGTCGTGCCGCTCGCTGGCCAACAACATTTTGATTCAGAGTTACTGTGGTACTTTTGCATTGCCGGGACGTTTTGGTAGTTCTTCACGGCACTGACACGGATTTTCGGCGCCACTTGCAGACCAGATTCTCGGAATCCGAGTGGCCAGGCCTGCCATGCCATTGTGGATCGCCAAATGCAGCGACAGACAATGTGGTGCGGCAGATACTATCTAAATTCCCAGCTTGATTTTTTTTCAAGTATGGACTATTTTTACCATGGCATTCTCTACTCCGCATCATTTTTTCTTGAAAATACACAAGTACACGTGGGTCTCGGTGAATGGGACTGGAACGTGGTGGGCGACGCCTCCGAGTTATTTTCCAAACAGTGGCGCAGTATCATCATGGGGCGGAAAGGTGTCGGTGCAACGGGACAAGCGGGCCGTGCCCCAGCCGCTGCTGGCCGTCCGATGAGGCCGCCGTACACGCGGACCCGTCCCGCGCCAGCCAGGATTCGCCCCGCATCCGGACACCCGCGCTCGCGCTCCGCCCCGCCCCGCCGCTGGCTGTCACCGCCCGTCAGCCCTTGTCGTGAGGCAAAGGTGAAAAAGCAAAGCGACGAACTGGTTTTGACAGCAAATCTGGTCGGTCGATTTAGCCTCGTAATCTCCAACCAAAGTTTGGCCTGCACGCACGACGTTGCATCTGAAAGTGCGTCGGGGCTGCAGCCCGGCCAATGGACGCCGGGATCCCGCGGCCGGCAGGAATCCAGGTCGTACGATTTCGGGAACTGAAGCTTACGTTAGCAGACATAATCTCTTTTTCTTTAGATTTTATTTACTAGTAAATTCAGGAAATGGAATTCCTGAAGAAATAAAGGCCTCTGCCCTTCTCACGGATCAAGAAATCACGGGCTCTGCACGGATTATTCCCTGGATTTCGTCTCCTTCCTTATAAAATACTCAGAAGAAGGGGAGAAAAATGGTGACAAGGGGGATGTCTCGCCGTACTATTATCGCGTCCTCCACGCGGCACGGCCGGAAGTCATGGCCATTATTTATGGGACGGATTTAGCTGATAAATCCGATAGGTGGACTATCTTTATTTTTTAATTAATTTATCCGCGGCCACGAACTCCCTATTGGCCTGCACGCATTGTCATGCCGTATGCCAAACGTCACAACTTCGCGGACGACGTGATTAGGTTAAGCATTTCACACCATTAACGAAAAAATTACTACTATCTCCATCACTTTGTGCACATAATAATTAGTAACAAACAGTTTGAACGCAAGACAAAAGTAATTCAAAGTAATTAGCAGCACAAATTTCAGTTTCGTATCTTACAGAGAAGAAACGACGGCGGCGATGAGAGGAAAGTTAAGCCGCAGTTAAGCAAGGCACTAATTAGGCCACGAACAGGGAAAGAGATTATTGACGAGAAGGGGGGATCAGGGCGACGGGATAAATACTGACCGAAGGTGGCAATGGAGGAGACGGCGACCTCGTGGGTGGCGGCGCCGTACTTGACCCGCACCCTGATCTCCGGCGGCGGCGGCCTGGGCGGCACCCCCGCCGCGGCGCCGTCGGCGCCCCTGTCCCGGGCCTGCACGACCATCCCGCTCGGCCGCACCTCCCACCCGGCCCGCTCCTCCTCCCCCGCCGCGGCGGCCGCCGCCTCCGACCACCCGCTGCTCGACCCGCCGTCCGAGCTCGACCGGTGCATCACCCTCGCCATCGCCCGCGCCCCAGCCGGCCTCCCCGGAGCACTCAAGCAGAGGCCAGCGAGGTGGGGAGTGGGGAGTGGGGAGAGAAGCTTCCACGGGGAGGGGGAGGGGGAGGGGTGGAAACCAGTGGTCGGTGTGGCGCCGTGCCGCTCCGGGCGGTCGCGTCGCGTGGGAGGGGAGGGAGGGAGGAGGGAGCGCGGGGGCACGCACGCACGAGGCGGACGCGCTTCTCCTTTTTGCTTGCCGGCTGTTTGTGCGCGTAAAAGCACGGGGGCACCCCGGGGTTTTCCACAATTAACATGGCCCCGCGACTGGCGTTCCCAAAGCCGGCCAAGCTGGTTTCTGCAAATAAAGCCGCCCTGCCCTGTGGTTTTGTCATGGCCACCTCGTTGAGACGGGTGAACATTTGCACTTTGCAGGCTAGCTAGTTCTCGTGCCTTTCCATCTGTTAATGGCGAGGTAAGTATTTGTGTGTGTTCGATCATGTTTGTTTTCTGTTTCGCATAAGCCGAATAAATAATTCCGCTTTTAGGTACATTATTATTCGATATCAGAAAACTTGAGCCATTCATTACCTTTGGGTATACTCCTTGCTTCAATCCAACCGCGCAATTGTAAGATGCCTTCCTCACCATCGTGTTAAAGGCCCCGATCCAACGGTGATTGCATTTACCATATAAACGTCCTTCTAGTCTCTCCCCAATGTCCATCTATCATGTGCTCCAGTTCTTCTGTGTGGGCATAGTCAACTCCTAATAATTTGAGTAACTTTAACATGGTCAATCCCTAACTCTTCACTACCACATAGATGTTGTAGCTGCAGCGAGATTTGCCGATGACGAGATCCATATCTCCAAGCTATAATATCCATTTTGCACTATGACATTGGTTGTATTAACGCTGCTATATAGAATCAGTTATTCTAGCCTTTTCAAAACCGAGTTCCAGTTCAACAGGTATGATATGTGCACAACAACTTCAATCGAACATTCGGTGTGTCGGTTTCTGCAAAATGAGCCTTCAGTTTGTCATAGCCACCCCATTGAGATGGTTGAATATTTTGCAGGCTAGCTAGCTACCAACCTTGTTGCCTTTGTTGTACCTTTTCCTTCCATGCCCATGTAAGTATTTGCGTGGCGTGCCTGTCCGTTTCTATTTTGGATAAGCCAAATAAATACTTCTGTTATTAGGCAGCACAACATACATTTTATTCGATGTAGTAAACATGAGCCATCCTTTACCATCAGGTAAAGTCTCACTTTGATTGATCGACCGAGCATTTGGAGGATGTCTTGATCAACATTGTGGTACCATTGAGCACAACGATTCCGATCCAGCGGTTGTCACATTCCCTATATAATACCCCTGCTACCCTTTTCATGAAATGTAATTCTATGAAATAGATCTTGCAGCCACACGAACGTCAGCAAATGACGAGACCCGTAGCTTTGACTGTATATGTCATTAACAATGTCTCTATCTCCACCTCCCACAACACTATCACCATCCCTTCCCTATGTTCATCTTCCTAGATGTCAACACCTTCATTACCTTGAGCCATTCATTACCTTCGAGTGTACTCTTTGCTTCAATCCAACCGCACAATTGTAAGATGCCTTCATCATCCTCGTGTTAAAGGTTCCCGGTCCAACAATGATTGCATTTACCATATAAACCCCCTCCTACTTTCCCTAATATGTCCATCTATCATGTGCTACAATTCTTTTGCATGGGCATAGTCAACTCCTATTTCGAGTAACTTGCACATAGCCAGTCCCTAATTCTTCACTACCACATAGATGTTGTAGCTGCAGCGAGATTTGCTGATGATGCGATCCATATCTCCCAGCTACAAGGTCCATTTGCACCATGACATTGGTTGTATTAACACTGCTATATAAAATCAGATATTCCAGCCTTTGAAAAACTGAGTTTCACTTCAATAGGTATGATATGTGCACGACAACTTCAACCGAACATTCGGTGTGTCAGTTTCTGCAAAAAGAGCCTTCAGTTTTGTCATGGCCCACCCGTTGATATGCTTGAATATTTTGCAAGCTAGCTAGCTGCCAACCTTGTTGCCTTTCTTGTACCGTTTCCTTCTGTGCCAATCTAAGTATTTGCGTGGCGTTCTTGTTCGTTTCTATTTTGGACAAGCCAAATAAATACTTCTGTACTTAGGCGGTATAACATATATGTTATTCGATGTAGTAAACGTGAGTCATCCTTTACCTACAGGTAAAGTCTCGCTTTGATTGACCGACTGAGCAATTGTAGGATGTCTTGCTCATCATCATGGTACCATTGAGCACGACGGTTTTGATCCAGCGGTTGTCACATTCCCTATTATATAATACCCCTTGTACCATCTTCGTGAAATGTACATCTATGAAATAGATCATGCAGACACATGAACGTCAGCAAATGACGAGACCCATATCTTTGACTATATCTGTCATTAATAATGTCTCTGTCTCCACCTCCCACAACACTGTCACCATCCCTTCCCTATGTCCATCTTCCCACATGTCAACACCTTCACTGTCAATCATATGGCCTCAAGATCGACCTATAGTTGTCTGATTCAACTACCTCGTTGATTTGTGTGAATCATTGTGCCATGTTCCCTCATCCTCCTTATACAATGTTGTTGTTAGGCTCGTACACCCCGAGCACCCCTAATGAGCAGTTATATGTCATGTGGTACTAATTGTATAGAGATGGTCATGTCAAAATAGGTAAATGGGCTTGCTTATTAGTACCTACACCTAATTGTATGATAAACGAGACTAAGCCTAAATAAAATTTGTTTTGCATATTTTTGGGTTTCAAGCAGTCTTAAGCACAAGAACAAAAGTGTTTGACCAAGCAAGATGCGTATGAACAGACCCATTTGCGCAAAAACATTGGTTATATTGACATTAGTAAATAAAACTAGTTATCCAGTCTCTTTCAAATCGAGCTTCACTTAGCGAGCTTTGGTATGTTCATGACCAATTCAACCAAACATTGGGTCGACCAACATAGGTCGGCAATGTATTTCATCATGTTACACTAGGATAAACGGCGGAGTCGATTATGACGAATCTCGGGTAGGGGGTCCCGAGCTAGTAGCCTAAGATGAGATGGTAATAAGGACACGAGGTTTCACCTAGGTTCGAGCTCTCTCAAAGAGATAATACCCCGCATCCTACTTGTGTTTGTGTTGCTTTGGGATAGAGCACAAAGGACAAATTGATCTACCATGAGATTGTTCTGTCTCTCATCTCTAAGATATGTCGATCTTATTCTGTCCACCAACCTGGCTTGGGTTTATATAAGTTACCAGAGGCCTATGATAACATGAATCATAGTCTGCTATGTAGGTGGAGAGTAGTCCTCCATGAATAGAGAGTCCTTGCCTTGTACGCCAAGGCTTCTTGGCTTCCTTGTATGCATCATGGGTCGCCCAAAA